GCCATTGTGTAATTTTAAATACATCAACTATACTCTATTTCTTCCTACTTTTAATCTACTGTATTAGTAGTAGTAGTAGTAGTAGTAGTAGTAGTAGTTTTAAACTGTAAGTTACCTGAGGACTCTCCTGTGGATGAAAAATAATGCAGAAATAATTTTATAAATAAATACTAAGTCACTATTAGAAGCAGAGTTCAGTAAAGTTTTACCAGGATTGCATGTGGTCTGTGAGATAGTCTACCTCTGCTCTGCAGGAAAGATAAGAAAGAACACATTGCAACTGCAGCTATTCTGTATGTCAAAGACTGAAGAAAGTCCAATAAACTTTTAACTGGGACAGATTCTTTCACAAAATCACTCCAGGTATCAATAGTAGGCCACAAAATAAATTTTGAATCTATCAACATCCCTCCCCCATTTCAACAATGCTATGACGGATCTTCAGATTGATCATAAAATCATAGTATCATGCACAAAAGAGACAACTATGTTAAACTCTCAGGTAGAAGAGAATGTGTCCTGCTTATGATTTCAAGATGTTAAATGATCATGCCTTAGAAAAATTAGCTATGAAGTCAAAACAAAAGTGAAATTATCCTAGACATAATCCTAAATAGTTCCTAGCATCTTATCTGAGCCATAAATGTTACTGCCTTGATTCAAAAAGGTTTTTGTCATGTTTGACAAAATGTTTATCATGTTTGATATGCTACTTTGATATAAGTAGGTAATTATATATATAAAAGTTCCCAACACAATCACATTTGAGTTTAAAAGAACAAACTTCCAGTATTTAAGAGATTGGTAGGAAGAAGGTGAAAGGGAAAGTAAAGAGGGTAAAGTTTCTCCAGAAAGTCTGATTATTATTCAAAACCTGTATTACAGAAGCTTGGCTTGAACCTAAGATGGAGAGAAATTCCACCAAATGTAACAGGATGTCAGTATAGTTAATAAGGATAATCATGGAAGGTTTAAGAAGACTTCTTTCAGAAAGTTTTTTGTGAACTAAAACAAAAAGCATAAACTTTAGCAAAATAAATAAACTGACAAGAATGAAAGTACAATGAATGCATCTAATGATGTTTGTAAACTCTCAATTCCCATCAACACTAGTCAGCATTACAATGAGACTTTGTGTTTCAAAATATCTAGAGGACCATTCCTTATTGCAGTCCTTACTGAAGCAATGACAAACAGACAATAAATATATTTGAAACAAAAACCCAAGACACTGAATGTCAGGCACATTAAAGTTCAGCTACAGAAGGACACTGAGATTCTCAAAAAAAAAAGAAAAAAAAAAAGGATACATCCATGTATCCAAATTAGCCTACAGAGCAGAACCAAAGAGGTGACAGGAAGTACATTGTAAGTCTTAATGACAGATGAAAAATGAATTCCCTGGTCTAGATTATATTCACCTTAGGGTTCTTAAAGAACTACAATGTGAAATTGCTGATATTTGTTATTTATTTTGCAAGGTTTAAAAACCGCTAATTAAAGCCAACTCTGCATAGCATACAATTCCCATCATCATAAATTTTGATTAAGACAATTAACAATGCTTACAAATCCATAGGAAAAAAAGAAAAAAGTAAAACAAAAATCAACAAACAAAAACAAAACAAAGAACAGAAATACCACAATTAATGGTCCCAAAACTGAAGTTCCATTATTCACCAGAGGAAGCAGTAATAACATTCCTGCCCTTGTGACCTGATGAAACAGTCATGTTTTAGCAGACTTTCTAAAAGGAAGAAGGGAAAGGGACATTTGAATGGGATGTCCAGGAGCAAACTACTCCAGAGGAGAGGGACTCAAACTGAAAAGACACACTTCTGCTTTCCTGCAGATGGCAGTCCCCAAGAAGTCCTAGTGGATTTCACTTTTAAAACACTCCAAGGCAAAGTTGTGATTAAAATGCTCATCTGAATTGTTTGCGCATCTTTATTTAGAAGTGTATGAAAAGATAGTCTTAAAGTAAAAAAGTTGGAACAGTAGTATATTGAGGAAACTGAAATGAAAACACATTTTAAAAGTAATGAAAAAGCTTAGGAAAGAGTGGTTAGTATATGTAACTATTGTAAAAGGGCCATATGAATCATTTGTGAGCAGAAACAATTAGATTTTATATATACATAGAAACTGCAAGAAAACAACCTAATAGAAATTATACTATCTTAAATTTTGCCTTTTAAATTTTACTGAAGAGACATCTTGAAATAACTTGATTTAAAATATATGATCCACAAATCTATGAAAAGACATTTTAACAAAAGATGAAAGAGACAAGAGTTACACATTTAAGTGGCAGCAAATTAGAAAAATATAAGCATCTAAGTATGACAAAGTTACTGTGAAACTTTATTAGTTATTTGAAACTTCTTGCAAAGAGTTTCAGTATATTATTATTAAATAGTTTCTAAGAAATAGTTTAATCCTATAAACATTTTCTTGGAGCTTAATCTGCTGGTTCTGTAGATGTATTTAAAATAATTACAGTGGGGCAAAAAAGTATTTAGTCAGCCACCAATTGTGCAAGTTCTCCCACTT